CAGAGGCCCAGAAGCAAGCACAGGGGAACTGAGCAGAACATGAAGTATATAAACCTCTGTGCACTGTGTACTATGTGGAAATTATGTACATGTATTGTAAAGACATCTGTGGGAAAACAGTGGAGTTATTTATTTATTTATTCATTTATTTATTTATTTATTTATTTATTCATTAATTCATTAATTTATTAATTCATTTATTTATTTATTAAAAATTTATTTTTGGTAAGTGTTTTACGGCGTTCTCAACTCCATTAAGTCATAATATATTGACCGCGCGGGACACATTAAGTATTTTCAGTTTTTGGTAAGATTCATTTTGAATTTTGCCCAGGTGGCGGACGAAACCTAGATATACTCTTATCGATTTTTAGACCACCAAGGGGTCTTTAACGTGCGTAACTTGCACACAGAACCTCCGAGATTTTCGCCGTTCTTATGGCTTCAGAAAACCAGAAAAAAGAGGAACCCTGTTTACAAAAGAAGACGAGCAGTTGGAACAGTTCAGGCAGAGCGTCATATTCCTACAGGATTTACCACCGTCCGTCTCCGATAGGACCAAGGGAAGGAGCAGGGAGCCTAAGAGACTTCAAATCCATGTAATAACAAGCCGAGTTTTAAAAAAAACAACCAGTCAAAGAATTGAACCTGGGGCACCCTCTCCTCAGTCCAGCTGCATGATACCAGCCGAGCTAAAAAAAATCCCCCAAAACAAAACTAAAACAACAACAACAACAACAACAACAACAACAACAACAACAACAACAACAACAACAACAACAACAACAACACCTGCGTAAGGCTTTAGAAATATAACAGAGATATATAAATTTAAAAAAAAGAAATCGTGGACACTTGATTTGCAGAAATTATGTCAAATTTACGGTTAAAAAAGGGAAAGTGATGCCTGTTTCTTCTCCTTCTTTTCTTAGATGAAGTTTGACCTTGCATGTATTAAGAACACGATTTTCAGAAGCTGTATTTTGTTTGAAAACAAAGCAGTCAAAACTTCTTCTGATGCTGATCATTACTTTGAAGACGAGAGAGAGAGAGAGAGAGAGAGAGAGAGG